GAAAGCCGAACGCGTGGTGGTGGCGACCGTTGTGGACAAAGAGGAGGGTGAGCTTGGTTAGTTCCGGCAGGTGCCAGGGATCGTCGCGATGCAGCAGCGCTGGGAAGTCGTCGACACGGCGCACGATCTCAAGCTCACGCCAGCGGTGGGACGAGTGGCGCAATTTGTGAAGGACTGGGCCACACGCAATCCCGCGCGTCATCTCTTGCCACAGGATGGGGTAGTCTTCATTCTCAAGGAGGATGGAGATGGAAAGAAGACAGGAACCGGCGCGCGCGACCCACAGATCAATGAGAGCCAGCAGGCCGGGTTTGGGGTTCGCGGCGAGGACAGCGGCAACAGAAAGGGATGTCCAGAGCTGGGGAAGGCTGAGGGCGATGACCCGCCACTGGCTGCAGACGTGGGTAAGAAGCAGTGGCGCGGTAAGAGAACTGGGGAGAACTCCGGCGTGCGGCGGCGGGAGACAGCGGAGGAATATCTCGCAAACGAGCTCTGGGGGTAACTCCAGAATGGGTGAGACGAGCGCATTGAGCTCGACGAGGATATCTCGTTTACGCCCACGCAGGCGCTCGAGATGAGCAATGGTTCCTGCGATCTCTGCAGAGGTATCTTCGAGGCGCTCATGAATTGCGGCGAGCCGGTTGTTGCCTTCGTGTGTCCGCAGGATATCTTCTGTCGACATGGGCGAGTCCGAAATACTTACATGATTGTCGGGACCGAGACGAGGATCTGGATGAAGCAGGTGACGCGACGCGTCTGCCAATTTGGCCAAGCACGAACAAGCGGCGCGTCGACCGGCATTGTCAATTTTTGCACCCAACCATATTGTACGACAAGTGCACAAAGACCCCTACGAAAAACAGATCACGTGTTATTACATAAGACATTTACTTAAGAAGACACCATATTTGCGCTGGGGGAAACAGTGTTCCCCCCAGACCCCCCTCCTTTAGCCTGACGGCCTGGCGAGGATATTCGGGTAGTTGATTTTTTTCCGTAAGATTTTTTAAGTAATTTTTGAGGAATCTTTCGGGCGCCGGCCCGGACGGCTGGGGTTTTCCACCCCAGACCCCGACCGCTGGCGCGGAGCCTTGCGCTCGCCGCTGGGCCCACTGCGTGGAGCTATCGCTCGCCGCGGGGCCCACTGCGTGGAGCGAAAAGAGAAAAAGAGCAAGAAAAGCAAAATAATAGCGGTGGCGGGAAGCGAACCCTAGATCAACGTCTTTGACGCCATCAGACGAATTGAGCGGAATAACCGTTCGCCCATAATTCCGTTGAAGTGAGAGGCGATTAACGCTCTAGGTGAGGGCGGACCTGGCCGCAACAATCACCAAAAGTACTCACCAATCAATCATGTGATCTGTTTTCCGTAGGGGTCTTTGTGCTCATATCTATTGTACCGTGACCGGAACAAAAATCACTCCCATTGAATTCAAGTTAAAACCATGGGACCACAACTTGTAGTGCTCCACTGGACTTGTATGGTTCAAGTTACATGTACCGGTTTGCGCCTCGGTGTTGGCCAATTTCATTACGATCCCGGACTGCGGCGGGATTGGCAAATCCCGTCCAGCTCTTCAACATTTCGCAATGTGTCAAGCCAGAAATGGAGCGGGTCTCGGAGTTCTACCCACTACTTGTGTAATGTATACGAGTCCAGGCGGCTCTTGGGCGGTTCACGGCATTCATCTGCAACAGCTATTTTACATAGATATATATCACAATACTATACAAAACTATACATATTCTCCGCGGCTGTCACCAGTCAGCGGGCGTTGCGTAAATCTCCGCATCGATCATTGCGCGCTGCGGCGTGGCTGGCCAGCCTGGCACAGACCGGGATTGGAAGACAATCGGTCCTGGATCCCGTATGATACTGTTCTCGAATCGGTCGGGGTTTCCGCATTCCTTGAGATTGAGTGTGATGCGCGACATCATCGTGACCTGCAAAGAGATCAAGTTGGAATCCTTGTGTTGAATAACCAGACTTACAGTAAGGCTGTGCAGACGGTAAAATGGTTAAACGATGACTCTACCCACAATAAAGGATGACTTACAGAAGTTCGAGTCTATATGCCGCTCGGTGTTAGCAGTAGAATTTGAACAGGAAGGAAGCTGGACGTACTGAGCCGCAATATTTTTCAACCCTGGGAAAGCAGCTGGGTAAGCGCTAATGACTGCCAAAAAAAAGGAACAACAGAACCTGGTGGTGCGGAAACAATCATGATTGTCAATGCCAGCGTGACGGAAAATATAGCACTGGGGCAGTCCGTAAGATGAAAAGACGAGCCAGCCTCAGGTCGAGAATCCCTCCACATACACATAATAAAGAAGGCCATCTTCGAGCAGTCGTTTGGTTATGAAACTCGCGCTGTTTTTCCCAACCAAAGGGACCGTCTTCAACATCGTTAGCACGAAGACGACGGAATCGTAAATGAGTGGAAGGAAAGCCGAGGACGCCGCCATGACGGGGCTTCTGATTTCAGGTGACCTATCAGTGCTGGCAGAAGGAACTTTCAGGCTGACGAAACGCACATGTTTGGAGTGAAGATCATGGTACATGCTGGAACGATCTATGAGCACAATTAAAGTAATTGAAGCAAAGGGGAGCTGTACCGTGCACGCCCGAATCTCGCGAATGTACGACGGCTACAAAATACACATAAACTGAAAAGCCCGCAGAACGGGGAAGAAAATTAAACGCACGTTGAGCCTGCGCTAGGAGCCACGCGTTGACGCAGAAAGTCACCATGAACAACAGAAATACACCGCCAACTATGTGTCTTCTTGTCTTGTATAGGGCGTTAATGCTTTATAAGGCGCTTAGAAGAGTGGTTCGACGATGAGCCAGAGGCATACCGAATCAACATCATTATTGCAACAACATGAATTCCAATCACGGTCATTGAGCCCTCAAATCGGACAAAGTGTCCGCACCTGAATTCAAAAATGAGTGTAGGCACGCTGGCGTAAGACTTTTCGTACATCTGGACAAGAAGAAATGGGCAGCTGGACAAGATTAATTAAGTTGCTAATGACGTACCTCCACTGTCCACACTGGGGAGAGGTATGCTGAACATAAAATTAGCGAGGCTGTACATCGAGAAGTGAAAAACCAACCAAACAGATTGATAATGAATCCGAGCGGCGTCAAGTAGCGATTCTGTGGAAAATTAGAACAGCAGAAGACTTGTGTCCGGCTACTGACGAGAAGGAATAGATAATCAACTGTTGTCCAGAGTAAGTTTATGATTGAAGGTTCAAGAAATATTGCGCACTGTAGCCTTTCTTCCGCTTCCAAATATACTCAACCTGGAGCCCTCACATCAGTGGCCACAATGAAGAAAACAGAAAGTGCAGAACTTCTCTCATAAAAGTGTCCTAGGGAACGGGATAAGATTCAGAAGAGAAACGAGAAATAGGGCATCCCGGCATACAATATGATCCCAAATCAAAACAGTGAACCCAACAAAAGCGACACACTGTTGGAAGTATCAGGATAACCAGAGCAGGCGGAGTGAATTATCCACACATTCGTTCGTAGGCTGAAGACGGTAAATTAGGGTAAAAGGATTATTTATAACAAGTTCCGCCTACGTTTCTTCCCTCTCCATGGCCACGCTTGCCAGTGACGTTGCATTTGCCATGCTACGTCTTCAAAATCGATGCCGTTCTCAAGAGCTCACAGCGTTCTGGGCAGTTAGTCCAAAATTATGTGCGGTCGTTGGTCTCGGTCTTTTATATGTATCCCAGAATTCCCGCCACAGCAACGTGGGGTCAGTGCGGGGGCAACGGCATAGCTATACGTACTCAGCGTCAGTGCGTCACTTCATTAGGCCTTTGACGGAATTGCCTCCATGATACAAGCATCTTGACTGCGATCTCAGCAATTCCCGCGTTCAGGGGTTTCTGACGCCATGGGAGAGAAAGCATGATGGGAAGGAGCTATGCCCAATCTCTGACTGCCGGAAGTCCAAACGCAGCCTCATTCTGAGCGGGAGTTTGCAGCTAGGCGCGCGCCTTCGAGCCTAATCATTCGTCGTTACACGTGAGCACTTGCGGCGCGGGGACCTCATGGTGCGCAGCATCTGAATGGTTAACTCGGGGTTGACAGAAAGCTGTTATTTTGTCCGTAAATGTCAAGAACCCCAGCATCATGATGTCAGTCGCCTGGCGCCGCAACGGTTTGCGCGACGTCGGTAATAAAAGCTGTGGAATCGCCGTGCCACGATAATGAGTCTATCTGCAACTCGGTGAATCCAATTTTCTGAGCCGCCGAATGGCTGCATTCACGTATGCTTTGCGTTTTGAAGTCAAAGATAGCCAACCTGAGGCGGGTTATTAATGATGTATGAGATCCACAGCCTAGCAGCCATTTGTGGATCGAGAAGTGTGTTGAAGCCTTGCATGAATAGCAAATGATTGAAAGAATCCAAGAATAATGTGGTGTTGTCCGTTCCAGAAGAAAGGTGTGAATAGCGAATGATTGGAAAATTCCAAGAAGAATCCTCAGGAAAGTCGGGAAGGCAGGCCAGCTGTTGTCCACCCCCCAAAAAAGTGCTCCAGAAGGACGCGAGGAGGAGAACATACATGACACCGACTTGGCAATGGTTCGTTCCAGCACCCGTTTGAGCGCAAGGCGCATCGAAGCAGAAAACCTGTCTGAACTTGACCAGCCACAACCAGGAAGTAAAGCAGAAAATGCGAGTCTGCCCCAAAGTGAGGTCTACCACTATACAGTGGCCACCCATTGCTAGTCGTAGAAAGATTTGAGGAAGATCCGGGTGATGTGAGAATTGGCAGGATTCTCAACGGTTGGTGGAAAGCAAGTTGGAAACAAGCGCGGTAAGAGGAGAACGAGTCTGAATTGGTCTGAACCAAGTCTGAACTGTGGAACAGTGGGCCCGGAGAGATTCGGAGAGCCGGAGAGTCATGTGCATAGTCTCGGCCCGATTCTTCCGTCCCAAACAGACCACGACCTAATGACGACGGAGTCCCATGGCACTGTGGCGGAGTGGTTAACGCGAGAGATTAGAATTGTTCGATGCTGTCATTGACAGGATTCGAACCTGTGTGATCTCTTCCACTTTGTGGGCACAGGTTCGAGTCCTGTCAGTGTCGTTCTTTTTGGCTTTTTGGCTCCAGTCCAACTCCATGGCACAGGTTCGAATCCTGTCAGTTCCTCTCAGAGTCGTTTGTTATCGAATTTCTTCCTCCTCTTTTTTTATTTTTATTTTCAAAGGTTGTCGGGGGCAGAGACGGAGTGATAACGCATGGGCGCAGGTTCGAGTCCTGTCAGTGTCGTTCTTTTTGGCCGTTGGGTCCTCCAGTCCAACTCTATGGCACAGGTTCGAATCCTGTCAGAATTCTTGGTTTTCTACTATTTTTTTTTCTTCAAAGATTAAATGTGGAGGGCAGACGGAAGCTATTGGTTGGCGGCTTTCAAAGAAGGATCTGCTGTACCATTTAACACTGGGCCACTTAGGAAAAAGAGTCCCGTTAAAATGTCATAGTTCTAACCCGCAACGGAACAGAAACATCTGAAAAAGTGCTATAGATTGAGTGTGAGTGATGGTAAGTAATCAGATACAAGTGACTGTAAGTGGGTGGTGCAATAATTAATGAGCCATCAACGCCCTGACTTTCTTCTTCAGCTCCTTGTTGCGCTGGCTGCCTCTCCCCTCCAACTTGCCGAATATCACGACCTTGCCGTTTTGTCCAGCCCGCCCTGTTCTTCCCGCACGATGCAAGAAATCTATCATGTTCCGCGGCTCATCGACGATGAATACATGCTTGATGTTTGGGGAAAAGTCGAGCCCGCGCGAGAGAAGAGACGTGGTGATCATGACGTGAGGTACATTCATCGGGTCGTTGATAGGCTCCTCCTTCTTTGCAGGATCCTGCTTCAAGATAGGCAGGAGCGAGCGCTTCGAGTCCTTTTGACCACTGCAGGCGAGGTGGTCTCGACCGGTTCGTCTGATTCGGTGACCCACGAAGAGCTCCAGTCATTGGGCCGCTCGTTTACTGCAGGCGCTTTGGTCTTGACGAACCCGTTGAGATGCCGGTTGCTGCCGCGTTTCCTGGTGTCACTCTTGGACGAGAGCTGTACGGTCTTGATGCCCTTCTCTTCGAGGAACTGACCGAGGTCGTTGACTTTGGTGTTCTTGTTGCAGAAGATCAGGACCTTGCTCATATCACCCAGACTGTCCTGCACCGGACCTAAGCCATCCGCGGCATCGGACGCCCAGACTTTCCGCAGACGCCGCTCAACGTCGGCATTCTTGTTGCCCCCAGTCCAGGACACGTACTCCGTCCTGAGCGTCTTCGGGAGACGATGGAGGTTCGGCGATACCAGTCTCTGTAGGCGGGGGTGGTACGCGTTCAGATACGTCGAGAGCGAGTTGGGGATTGTAGCGGAGGTGACAAGGAAATTGAAGGGATAGTTGAGCGGTGTAATGACAGACGGTCCCTTTTTCGCGACAATCTTGCCCCCAGCCTGTTCCTTTTCCTTTGCTTTCGTTTCTTTCTCCTTCTGGCGGGACGTCGTAGGCGCGGGAACAGGCATAGGCGGTGCTGGGGCAAGCAATCCCACTGGCAAGGGCACAACGGGCACCTCGTGTCCCCGAGCTTTAGCAACATCTGCCAAGAGCATCCGTGTCGTCTCCTGGAAGTCGGAATCTATTGAATTAAAAGAGTCAGCTCAAATATCGTGTCAAGTTGCTTCGCCGCCCACCAAAAAGAACATCGGCTTCGTCGACGACGACCCATTCTACTTCCGAGAGCCCCATTTCAGGCGAGGAGCGCCATTTACCGACACCAGGTATCGAGTCTCTGCCGCGCCGGAGTTTAGGGCCTTTTCCCTTGCTGTCGGCCTCATCCTCAGGCGAAACAGGGTTCTCTCCAGACTCTCGCTTTTGCGCTTCCGACGTTGCAGCAACCCCGGCCCCGAACTCAACCTCTCGTTCCCACCCACGCCCTCGGACCATCTCCATAAGCTTCATGGGCGTGCCGACAATGACGTCGACGGGGAAGGACGCGCCGCTGAGGTCCGCCTCCTTCACCTGGAACTCTCCCATAGCCCCGTCGTCCGCAAAGGAGAGCAGCTCCTTCATGCGGCTCACGGTACTATTCTTCTTCCCCTTGTTAGCTACCGTCTGGTCCCGCGCCGTGCGTGTTGGCTGGTTGGGCCGCGACGCGCATGACACACGCAGCTTCACGTCGTGTAACAGGGACTTTGCTGAGGACGACAGTTGCCGTGCGAGTTCATGCGTTGGCGCGAGGATGAGCGCGCGGGGATTCAATCCGCGCTTGGACGTGGGGGGTGTTGTCTCGCCACCCGCTCGCCGCACCTCGCTCATCTTGAGTGCTTGGAGTACGGGCAAAAGATACGCCACGGACTTGCCAGAGCCGGTCTCCGACGCGAGGAGGAACTCCTTGTAGTCGGCATCCTCTATGGTCTCCGTACTCACGCCTGTCTCCTCGTCGTTGGGCTGCGGGTTATTTTCCTGCCCCGCCGTCCACGGGTCAACAACCCATTTGAGACTCAAAGCTTGGATCGGGGTCGGGACAGCAGCAGGCCCGCCAAACATATCCGTTAGGCTCTTGATGAATCCAGGCAAGAGGGGCGGCGACGTGAACTTGGTGGGGAGATCATTCTTGAAGCCCATCGATGGGCTGTAGGACGAGGTCGTCGATGCGGTGGCGGGGTCCGACTTAGAGATAATGGGGACGCCGGCCCGCCCCAGGAAGAGAGGCGGACTTTCGAATAGCATGTCATCCAATTTTTTCCTCTTCGGCGGGGGCGTTTCTGGTTGAGATTTGGGTTTTTCTGGTCGAGGCTTGCTGGCGGGCGGGGAAGGAGACGGCTGATTGCGGTTCTTCAACGATGAGGTGATTTCCACGATGGACTCGTCGAGTTCATCATTTTGGGGCGGGAATCGGTCCCAGGTGGGGGTCACAGGCTGTCTTCTGCCATAAGTAGGGGCATCTCGGTCATTCACAGAAGGAGAGGAACGATCTCGGGAAGGAAAGCGAGACGCTGGGTGCGCTCGGTCTTCACCTAAAGGTCGCAGACCGAATGAGGAAGACGCTCCTGTGTGATCTGATGAACGCCGTCCCGTGGGATGTCGTGTCTCGAATCGTCTCTCAGAATTGCCCTCGACAAAATCATTTGCAGGTGCTTCGCGTGCAGAGTGCCCACGATAGCCCTCAGCGGAATCGTGTCCTGCGAGCCCATAAGACTGTGGCCTGTCTTCGCGCAGTCCCATCCGAGAGCCCTGATGGCTCCCACCGCCAAAGTTACTCTGTGTCCATTTACCTGTTCGCGTGTCCCAATCTTCCTCATTGCGAACTTCTGTACGAAAGCGCCGCCTGAAGGAAGGATTTCGGCCGTGAGGATCTTGTTCTGGCGGGGCCTCAGCACCGGCATGAGGAAGACTGTCTCGTATAAACGCGGGAGTGTCGTCCTCTTGTCGACGCTTACCGCGGGATTCTAGGGCACAATAAAACGGGGGAGGTAATGGAAAAGATTTAACGCACTTGGTGCAACATGAATGGAGCCAGAAGATGACGAGGGCGTCAAATCTTCCGCCAGACGCGATGCTAAGCAAGTATTTTATTAGCACTTTTCCTTGTTCTTTCATCTGCTAGATTGACGCACTGCGCGTCCTCTTCGTCCAAGAAACAGAGGCGGATGAGTGAAATAACGTGGTGAAAAGGTCATCCCGAGCAGGACATTTTCGCGCCGAGCGACGAAGCCAAAGCGACATCGAAATGATTAATTACTGGAACCGTCGATGAGACAGGACCCAGGATATTGAATAGACAACACACTATGAAGTATGTTACTTTTCGGTGGAACAGTAGTCGAAGCCAGGTCGCTGGCGGCGCGCCGTTGATTTTGCGCGTTGGAGAAGAAGAAATCGCGGTATGCAGCACCGCCACTGTCAGATCGGCAGATCGGCCCGCAGGCCGACTCGGATCTCCCTCAGCGTCAAACTTATTCAACATTCGTATCCTATCGTTCGACGTTCTGGCCACGATCCTTGTCTTCTACGTCCCTCAAACTCTATGGTCGAAAAGGGTCGGAATGACAATTCAATTTCGACGACCTGAAGAAGGCAAGGCATTATTCAAGCTCATGGCGTCCAAACAGCATCCTTGGGTACGAGCTGTCGCCAGGACCCGAACATCCCCTCGCGTTCCCGCGGTAAAAACTCCATATCCGGCGGCCGCAACTTCTCATCCAGAGTGGCCAGGTTATCCTCTGACACCATCATTTCGTACTCATCGTCCTCGTCCTCTTCATCGTCTTCACCGACGCCTCCAGCCAACCAAACGATATCACCCACAAATTTGTTGATGATGAAATAACGAGCTTGGAGGTCGGGCACGGTGTCGATTCAGGAACGATAGATCTTTTCGTCGATCAACGCGTCGCAACTTCGTCTGTGCACGTCGAAGATGGACGTGAGTAAGAATTGCGTTTCTAACAGCAGCGTTTCTTCTACGCCGGTTCGTGCACGGACGTAGATCTGAGGAAGATATTTATTCAATAACTGGATCACTATCGATGGGAAATAAAGCACTGACCCCGTCGGGCATAAACTCCAACCAGATTCTAAACTCCGCGAACATACCGTGGATGGGAGGGATCGCTAGAAATGCGTTCTCCAAGCAATCCGGGCTCCATTCTGCTTCCAGGAACTCGATACCGGTGAGGGCTTTCACGTCTGAGGCATAGACAGTCAGCAAACTTTAGAAGAAAACCTCCATGCACGACGAACCGATGGGCCTATCCGGAACGGCAGTCCATGTACAATTCCGAGCGACATAATCCTCGGCGTTCCTTTCTGTCGACGTTGTTCGAACTGTTCCACAGTGAGACTCCTAGGCATACGCTCGAGGTCAGTCAGACGGCGTCCGACATCACGCAACTCGAGCTAGACAACGATATGAAAATCGTTGTCTGACGAGGTGGACTTTCGGATACCTTTTCGACGAGCTGTGGGTTCCTATGTTCGGCGCACATCGATCTCGGAGTTGCGACCGCCACTGGATCCGTGGATGGGTTTGAGCATACTTGCATGTTGATCTCAGACACGAGCATAAAATGATTGACA